TCTAAAAATAAGGTGGAGAGTTTACATTAAGGGGGATAAAGATTTACAACATAAGTGCAATTGTATTTATCTAGGAATCAGGCAAGAAGACCCAAAGCTTTGTTCCAACTATTAGAATTAAAGTTATTATTTATTTGACTGGTAGCAACAGCAATAGTATTTAGACTTATATTCTGCTATACAGTGCTTTTACAGCCCTCTCTAAGTGGTTTACAGAATCAGTATATTGCCCTCAACAATTTGATTCCTCATTTTACCCATCTCGGAAGGATGGAAAGCTGAGCCAACCTTGAGCTTGGTGAGATTTGAACTGCCAAATTGCAGGTAGTCAGCAGTCAGCTGAAGTAGCCTGCAGTACTGCACTCTAACCACTGCGCCACCATGGCTCATAACTTGCTTTCCAGACAGTATTCATTAGCATGGAACATTTTAGTTTCTAACAAGAGTTTGGTCCTTAGCTTATCTTATAAAAAATGTTATATTTTTATAGCATTTATATTTTCCTCTATTGTAATATATGTCTATATGCATTTATATTTTCTTCTACAATCATCTGGTTAATTACATCTGTCTGCATTTGCTAGCTAAGTTATATATCTGAAGAAACTAAATTCTACCACCACTTATTAGTCTGTAATGCAGATTGTCCTCAACTTACGACCTCAATTGAGCCCAAAATTTTCATTGCTAAACATGAACTATTAAGTGAGTTTTGCCCCATTTTAAACCTTTCTTGCCACCATTGTTAATCAGAATCACTGCTGTTAAGTTAGTAACCTGGTTGTTAAATGAATCTGGCTTCCGCATTGACTTTGCTCAAAAGTTTGCAAAAGATGATGACACATGACCCTAGGACAATACAACCATCATAAATATGAACCAGGTGCCAAGCATCCTAATTTTGATTACATGGGGATGCAGTCACGGTCGTAAGTGTGAAAAAAGGTCATAAGTCACTTTTTAAAGCACCATTGTAACTTTGATGGTCACTAATTGAATGGTTGTAAGTCGAAATGCACTCTTGAGACAGTCCAACAGGACTTTTTGGTAAAGCTGAAATCTACTGGAGGAATTATGGCCACTTTACCTCAGGCAAATCCCTTTAAGAGACCCAGATGTGATTTACTAAAGATTATACAAGGAGTGAACGGTAGAAGCACCCTGGCTTTAATGCATAAATTACAATTCCTATCAAAAGCATGGCCAAAAATCTATAACTGGGGAGCTATTTGCCAACTGTTTATGCCAGAAATGCAAGCAGATGTCTAAAAAAAGAGACCATGGAAATGTGAAACAGAAGTAAAGGATCTCCTCAAAGAACTGAGGAGAGAAATGTTAATTTTAAAGAGAAAGGTAGTGTGCTACTGTTGAAACAGATGGGTAATTTAGGTGTAGTGGGGATTTCTGGCTTAAGCAAATAGTCAGAGAGAGTCTGGTAGCACCTTTTCTGACTAACAAATGTTATTAAACTGCAGCTCAAGAAAGCGTATGTCTTTTAATAAAAATGTGTTACTCAGAAAAGTGTGTGTTTTACCTTTTTCTACAGGGGCTTCAGCACAGAAATCCATCACAGCTTCCATACCTTAAAAATGTGCACTAAATTGGGTATGCAAGGTTTTTTTTACTTGTAATCTTATTTCTATCCTGCCTTTCTTATTATTACAAATAACTCGAGACAGCAAGCATTAGAATGGAATGGAATTCTTTATTGGCCATGTATGATTGGAGACACAATCCCCTCACATCCCGGACATAAACTGTTTCAACTTCTACCCTCAAAACAACACTACAGACCACTGCACACCAGAACAACTAGACACAAGAACAGTTTTTTCCCCGAACACCATCACTCGGCTAAACAAATAATTCCCTCAACACTGTCCAACTATTACAAAGTCTGCACTACTATTACTGTTAATCTTCTCATTGCTCCTTATCACCCATCCCCTTCCACTTGTGACTGTATGACTGTAACTTTGTCTCTTGTATTCTTACGATTTACACTGACTGTTTCCTAGTATGATTTGATTGCTTATTGTACCCTATAACTATCATTAAGTGTTGTACCTTATGATTCTTGATTCTTGACGGATGTATCTTTTCTTTTATGTATACTGAGAGTATTTGCACCAAGACAAATTCCTTGTGTGTCCAATCGCACTTGGCCAATAAAGAATTCTATAATCTATAATTCTATAACAAGAAATTTGTCTCTGGTGCAGCCAACCTTTCACCTTCTATTTACCTCATAACAACCCTGTGAGGTGGGTTGCGGTGAGAGAGAGTGACAGGCCTAAAGTCTCCCAGCTGGCTTTCATGGCTAAGTAATTATAGTTGTAAGATGTGACAGTCATTAAGCAGGTCACCCTGTGATCATGCCTGATTTTACACCTTTTGTTTTTGCAAAGATCATTAAATAAACAGCAGTTGTTGAACAAATTAAACACCAGTCATTAAACAAATACATGATATCAAACAAATGTATTTTGCCAGAAATTCAAAACTAAATACTGGAGATCAGCGAAATAGCTCCAAAATCATGTTTATGGGATTGCAGGACACTGCAAACAGCCATGAATGCAAGTTGGTTACCAAGCACCCAAAATATGATCATGTGACTGTGAAGGCAGCCATCACAACTTCAAAAACGGGTCATTGATAGCCATTAAGAGCCAGTGTGGCACAATGGTAAGAATGCAAGTTTCAGGCTAATTCTGCTGACTGCCAACTGCCAGCAGTTCAATCCTGACCAGTTCAAGGTTGACTCTGCCTTCCATCCTTCCAAGGTTGGTAAAATGAAGACCCAGATTATTGGGGGCAATAGGCTGACTCTAAAATGCTTAGAAAGAGGACTGTAAAGCACTGTGAAGCAGTATACAGGTAGTCCTTGACTTACAACAGTTCACTTAGTGACCATTCAAAGTTACAACGGCACTGGAAAAAGTGGCTTTTGACCATTTTTCACACTTATGACCATTGCAACAACCCCATGGTCATGTGATTTATATTCGGATGCTCGACAACTGATTCACATTTACGACAGTTGCAGTGTCCTGGGGCCATGTGATCCCTCTTTGTGATCTTCCGACAAGGAAAGTCAATGGAGGAAATCAAATTCATTTAACAACAGTGTTACTAATTTAAAAACTGCAGTGTTTTGTTTAAGAAATGTGGCAAGCAAAGTCGTAAAATGGGACAAACTCACTAGCAAAGGTTTCACTTAGCAACATAAATTTTGGGCTCAATTGTGATCGTAGCTCATGGACTACCTGTATAAGTCCAAGTGCTACTGCTATTTGAGAAGACCATCATAACTTCGATAGTTGCTGGTTGTTAAATGAGGAGTGTAGATTTTAATCCATGGCGATCTGTCCCTAACCTATTCTTTCAAGTCTTCCAATGGTGCATTCGTTATGATGGAAGTCAAGAATGAAATATTATGAGAAATATTTTGAAAAGCAGATTATTATATTTCCTGTAAAAGAGAAATAGAAATCTTAAGGGAGACAGAAAGTCCCTGCCCCAACAGCTATTTGGTGCCCATTAAGAAAGACTGGGGCATCCTCTCTACAAGACAAAAGACATTCGGCTCCAGGGTGATGGGATTAAGACATGACCCTCCAGGACACTGTAGGATTATCTAGCAGCATTGCAAAATCTCCTCAGGACAGTGCATCACCCAGCAAACTTCAACCAAACTTATCTCAGAGAAACATGACCCCACATGGCCCCATGGGAATCTGACAACAGCCAATACAATACATGTTCTTACACAGGAACAGGAAGCTCAAGTGCGAAGCCCAAGAGAAGGTATAAAAGCCCCTTTCCCCACACTCAACTCCATGTGTTTAGCTGCACCAGAGAACCATATGCTTGGTGGTTCTCTCTCTTCCATCATTAAAGCCTCTTTCCAATCAGCCTCCAGCCTCCATTTTGTCTCTAGTGTCTTTCTCCTGCCTTGGAACTGAACTAGATGGATAGTTCTTTCAACAGTTGCCACCATAATTGTGTCTGCTCATCCTCTTATTCTCTTTTCTTCCCCATTTCCCAGCATGAGAATCTTCTCCAGGGACCTGGGTCTGTAGTAGGATAATTTGAGCCTAGTTATTCATCCCTTGGAGGAGAACTTTGGGATAATTGATGGTTTTACCGGTTTACCTTGTTCCCATTTACCTCACAGGAGTCAGGGCTCCAAGTTATAGACCCATACTAAGGAAAACTCCGAGGCAGACAAATTATTGGATATATTATATTGGCACAAATCTGTTGAAAACCGACTCTGAAGGGTCCGTGGTTTTCACCTAGTTAAAAGTAAAAAAAATTCCCTCAACCCCAAATAATCAGTCAGATGGTCCAATCACGGCACCATCTGTTGACCCGCTGACATCACTCCTCCTTCCTCCAGCCAGGTGTGAGAACATTCTTGGTTCCCAAGAGAAAGTATTTTGTTTTGACTGCACAACCCCAGCTATCTCTATTCCCCCCCCACCCCCCATCACTGTGGCAGCACTGAAGCCCCACGATGGCTTCGGCCAGGCCAACTTCAGGTTTGACAACAGGTCCCCAAACTGCCCCGATCTGCAGAAAAACCTACACAGAACAAGTCCCCGGAGCACAAAAGGTTGGGAGCCTCTGATTTGCATTTAGTTTTATTTATTTACTAGCTCAATACCCATGCTTTGCTACGAAACTATGTGGTCAGACTTAGTTTTGGGGGGAGGAAAATAAGGAAAACGAATTCTGGCTCTGCCTACCAGCATCCATAGGTATTCATCTGGCTAGTGTCCTGTCAGTGTGTGAGAGAGTTGAGGGCTGTTGGGAAACTGAAACAGCATTTGCTGTGTGAGCAAGGAGATAGCAAAGAGCCTGGATGTGGCTTAGCTCAACTGTTCTGTACTAAAGCTGCTTGATGCTTGAAAGTAAAACTGAAATTGAAACTCCTCTCCTCTGCTTGTGTTTTGCATTTGGAACAGATTAGGGAGGGGAGTAGAACTCCTTAGCATCAGAGTGTGTTAATAATAATATACGAAATACTAATGCTCTGATGATCATTTCGAAAAATCCGTTCTCAGTGAGCACCTCGAAGCCAAGAGGAACATATGTGCCACATTTCTAGTTTGTAGGCTTTACAGTATATATATCTATATCTATATACTGTATATATCTATATCTATATATATATCTACATCTAGATAGGTAGGTAGGTAGGTAGGTAGGTAGGTAGATAAATTTTTATTTATTTCCCCATTTGCATTTACTTTGCAATAAAAGTCTGAAACACCAAAAATCAGATAATAGCCAATATTTTTGTGTGTATAAAGCTAAATTGGATATGTTCTTCATAGATTCAAGTGCAAATAGTTAACCCTAATCCCCATCCTTTGTCTAGGGCAGAGCTGTATGGCTGAATTTAGCAAGTGAGGCTCTGAACCGTGAAAATGGACATACCCCAAGTTGTGTTTTAAAGCAAATAGACACCGCCTTTGAGCAGCCGCCACATTAACTCTGATCCACTGGAGGGCAGATTTAGCCATGATTATTCCATCATCACCACTCCCTTTTAATGTAATTTATCAGCTTTTCTAACTGTGCAAAGCAATCTTTTAAAATGCCAGCAGAACGGAGCGGTACTGATGGATAAATGTCAATAAATATCAGATGAAGGTTAAACATTCTAGATTTGGCTTGGCATTTATCGAGCCGCAGGTGACATGGAGATCTCACCAGGCTGCCCTCTTTTTGACAGCCTTCTTGTTGGGGAAAAAAATTACTGGACAATTTTGAAAGAACCTGGCTGGAGGCAATGGGATAATTCCCTCGTGTAACAAGGCTCTCCTTAACATGGTGCCATCAGCAATTGTAATTGTAATTGCTTTGACTTCTGCAATTGCAGATTTTTTTTTCCTGATTTGTATTTAGCTATTAGATTGAACAGGAAGAGGAAAGACAGCAAGCTCCTTCCAGGTTGTTCTTCATGAGGACTAGAAACCTAACTGAAATGTATTTAAAAAGCAATGGAGTTTCTTCGAAACAATCTTATTTTTTCTGATGGCAATGTTCTTTAGCTGGATACTGAAGGACTAAATAGTTGTGTTTTCTGGGAAAGAGGTCTGGAACAGATGACAATGCAAGAGTATATTCCTTGATAACTAACCAAACTATTAGAAGAGCGACCATTCAAAATTGATGAACGGAGCAAAGGGTACCAGCAACTCATGTAAGATAATCCAGCTCTGCTTTGAAAAGAGAGATGGAGGGAAGAGAAGATTGAAGCTCCATCTTCTGTTCCATCAAAGATGATCTCAGCAATTCCTCTAAGCACAACTCCACATCCTTTTGTTGCTTCACTAGCCATAAGGAGCTTTCACTGTTATATATGGACCCAATGAGCGAGTGAGTAAATGTGAGATGCTTCTAATATTGGAATAACGATGCTAAATTCTTACCTTCTATACCAAGCGCAGAGAGAATCAGAGTTGGAAAGAGCCTTGGCGGTCTTCTAACCCAAAGTCCTGCTCAAGCAGAAGATGTCATACCATTCTGGACAAATGGCTTCCAACCTCTTCTTTAAAAACCGCTAGTGCTGGAGCATTCACAACTTCTGGAGGAAAGCTGGTCCACTGATTAATTGTTCCCACTGTCAGGAACTACCTTCTTAGTTCTAGGTTGAATCTCTTCTTGATCAAGTTTCCATTCATGACTTCTCGTCCTTCCTTCAGGAGCTTTGGAGAATAGCTTGACTCCCTCTTCTTTATGGCAGCCCCTGAGATATTGGAACACTGCTACCATGTTCAACTCACCAATGTACAAATTTAACAGTCGTTAAAGTTCAGCAGATTAATTTACCACGAACCTCAGAACTTAGTTTCTTAATGTTAAAAGAAACTCAAAACTTCCACATTTTGTGGGTCCAAGAACGGCCATCGCTCTATGTATCCATCCTCCATTTTAATCTAGCAAAGGTACTCCTCTACTTAAAACAGTTCATATAGTGAATGTTCAACGTTACGACAGCACTGAAAAAAGTGACTTATGACCCTTTTTCACACATAGGACCATTGCAGATATCCTCGTGGTCATGTGATTTATATTTGGATGCTTGACAACCGGTTCGTCTTTATGACGGTTGCAGTGTCCCGGGGTCACATGATCGCCTTTTGCAACCTTGTGACCAGATTCACTTAACAACTGTAATTTAACTACTGCAGTGATTCACTGAACAACTGTGGCAAGAAAAGTCGTAAAATGGGGCAAAACTCATTTAGAAACATACATTTTGGGCTCAATTGTGGTCGTAATGTCAACTCATAAAATATTTCTATGGTCTTTTTAGAGTTGACAACAGAAAGGGAGGTGGGGAAAGGGGTTTGTAAGAACAGTGTGGCAGCTTGGAAATCAAAAGTGCATTCCATAAATAGTTTTTCAAAGATAGTAACTAGGTGGCTGAAGTTTTTGCTGCGCAAAATTCTAACTGGAGAGTACGATTGATGACTCTTGGCTATGGATGTGTCCCATTGGAGAATATTAATGATACATCCAGGGGGTGGGGGGGAAAACCAGGGTCAAGGGTGACAATGAACTATGTCTATCAGAGTCGGCTACACCCAGGCAGTACTGGACATGTTAACTCCCAATAAATCCTTTTGAAGTTTTGGAAGCTTGGCTCGAGACTCATTATTTAATTGGGGTAACTGCCGGAATCCTGGCACATAAGTCGAGGACTACCTGTAGCCAATTCTAAGGGTGATTAGATCAAGCCTCCATTTATCAGGAAAAAAAAATATGGGGGAAACTCTATTTGACTTTTTTCTTATGTCCAAACCAACCCACAAGATTTTTTCAACTAGACGCAGTTGAAAATTAGTGCTACTCAGCACAAAAACGTTGTTTTATTTGTTCAGTGCTAGGTACAGAGTGAAGTCACCGTCCAATTTCCAAAATACAAAGCTCACAGCATTTGGAGCATCCAGTTTTCACACAGCCAGCTGCTTATTGTAATGCAAAGGCTTTCATTCACAGAAAATCTGTTCCAGCATCTGGAATCAGGTTCCCGCAGGTTAAACAGAAAGAGGCTTTAAGGTAGGAAGGACAGAATAAGTTAAGGCTTCATACAGAACCAAAGATTATCAGCATGAACCCCCTCAAACTCAAAACCTTTTTTGAATTGAGGCGGCACTTGTCTCAGCCATCGGGATACAGGTAGTCCTTGACTTATAACCATTCCTTTAGTGTCTGTTCAAATGGCACAAAAAAAAAAAACTGATTTATGACTGGTTTTCATACTTATGCCCACTGCAGCATCCCCATGGTTACTTGATCAAAATTAAAGATGCTTGGCAACTCGTATTTATGACAGTTGCAGTATCCCGGGGTCACGCAATTACTTTTTGCAACCTTCTGATGGAACAAAATCATTGGGGGTGCCAAATTCTCTTTACAACCATGTCGCTAACTTAACGACTGCAGCGATTCACTTAACAACTGCGGCAAAAAGGTCGTAAAATGGGACACTCGCTTGTCTCACTTAGTGGCAGAAATGTTGGGCTCCACTGTGGGCGTAAATCGAGGACTACCTCTTATCAACCAGGGCTGTGGGTTACCCTGTCTCCCGAACCCTCTTCATGATTCCCAGTGCAACTTTCCTCTGTCACCATATAAAAAGTGGGTTTTCCCATGGCATCGCTCTAACCCCACCCCATGTGACTTGCTCAGCTGAACTGCGTACCCCACCCTCTTCCCCATCTCCCCCTCTTCCATTTTGCAACCAGAGTCCCTTGTTTTTGACTTGAATCCTCTAGAACCATATTTATTTATTTTTCTCACACAGCATCTGCTTCTGGGGTCTTCCACAATTCTAAGTAATTCAATGTAGCTAGTTACAGATTAACAGAGTTAGAAGGGACCTTACAGGTCATTTAATCCAACCCCCCCACCCAAGCAGGAGACCCTACACCATTTCTGACAGATGGCAGTCCAATCTTTTCTTGAAAGCCTCCAGTGATGATGTTTCCACAACTTCCAAGGGCAAGCTGTTCCATTGGTTGTTCTCTGTCAGAAAGTTTCTCCTTATTTCCAGGTTGAATCTCTCCTTGTTCAATTTCCATCCCTTATTACTTGTCTGGCCTTTGGGTGCTTTGGAGAATAGCTTGGCCCCTTCCTCTCTATGGCAGCCCCTCAAATATTGGAAGACTGCTATCATGTTGCCCCTGGTGCTTCTCTTCACCAGACTAGCCATGCCCAGTTCCTGTAACTGTTCTTCATATATTTCAATCTCCAGTCCCCTTATCACCCTGGTTGCTCTTTTCTGCACTTTTTCTACAGCCTCGACATCTTTTTTATAGTGTGGTGACCAAAACTGGATGCAGTACTCTAGGTGTGGTCTTAGTAGAGATGGTGCATCTGAAGCTCTCTAAAGAAGGCTGAATGTTCATATGCTCGTAACAAATCCCACTGGCTGAGGCTGCTAAACACCCAGTTAAATCTGAACGGTTGCAAGAGTCAGTACAGGCAGTTCTCAATTTATCAGTGTTCACTTAGCGACTGCTCAAAGTTACAACAGACCTCCCTGGGAGTACTTATGACCTGGATTTTAATTTCTGACAGCCGTCTGTCCCTGGATCAAGTGATGCCATTTCATGACAATTTTGCGGTAAACTGTCATTTACTTCTGGCTTTCGTCACAACAAAGTTTGTAAAATTAGGACGGTTTACATAGGTGATCCGATTTATAACTGCCACAAGTTACGACCATGATGGGTAGGCTCTGCTGCAATCATTAACCTGAGGACTACCTGTACGCTGGATTTAAGGGAGACCACTGGCCAGTGCTACAGGCCATTTCTAAAGCAAAGGGATATACATGGCTAAATGGCCACAGAGATCAGTAACCTGTGCCTTTGGAAATTCCCCGTTTTCCCAATTAATCCCTACGTCATGATTGTGGCACAATTACACTCCAGGAAATGCTACTGGAGCAGCGTCTAAGGATGACATCCTCCTGACTTTGGAATCTGCATGAATCAATCTGCCAATTTCCAGCTCCAGCTTTTCTTGTTTCGTTTTTGCCAAAAAAGAAAAACCTGCTTTTATAAAACCCGGAACTATTTTCCTCCCAGAAATGTTCACAGAAAGGCTGGGAGCCATCCACTTGGCTATTGTGCCTGCACCAACAGCATTTTAAGCAAAAAAAAAACCTTATTGCACATTTCAAAAATGTTGATGCTATTTCCAGCCCATGTGGGCACACTAACCAGAACTGCAGAAAGGAGAATGTTCGCCATCTTCAGTAACGTGAGATAGGCTTATGTCCAGTTGAGATTGCTTGAGTGGGCTAGACAGAGTTGAAAGTTAGAAAAATCATGGAGAAAAGTTGGTTGGATGATGGGCTACGTTTCTACCTGCTGTGGATATTTCAAGTTTTGAAGAAATATTCCAATCGTTGATGCTTTTTCAATACTCCAAGACCGATTATCTCAATGAGATCTAGTCTCATGCAAGAGAAACATTACACATTTGTGACCAATGTTAACTGGACTTCTTTTAAAGCAGTTCCTTACGATTTAGCTTTTGGGTCTTTTTACCATAGGAACACAGAAGCATCCAATTTTATATTGCTAGTTTTTTTTTCCCCTGGGAAAGAGAGAATTCTAGCCAGGAGAGACCTTAAATGTGTTTGGAACAAGAATATGTCTTTAACACCAACCCACTCCAAAGGCACCAAAGGGAATATATCCTACTCCTTACTGGCATCTGATACTGAGATATACCGCTCCTGAATAGGGAAGTTCCATTTAGAAGTTGATACTTTTAAACTGCTATGATGCTATGCTGGTACTCATCCTAAACTCTGCCCCCAGGAGGAGCAGAAGTCACTGACCTACATCCTGCCAGCCAAAATTTATGTCTCAATTCTGGGCATTCTAGAAAAAAAAAATATTGACCACCTTTTCTAAATCTCAACAGATAAC